ATCGATATTTGTTAAAAATACAGATTTAGTTTAAAGATGTATATACAGGTCAAATGCAAATAACCAACACTAGATTGACATGATAATATTATACAGGCAGATATGATTGTGTAAAATACAATTTATATTAATACTAAATTACAGTGTTGCATGATTTTAATCTTCTCAATCAACTTTCATATAACATATTAATACAATTTCACTGTAATGCAAGCTAGTGTTAAAATTGTGGAAGACCATTATTCTAGTGTTGTACATTTTAATATTAAACAGTTTGAGCAGAATTCATTCAGCTGATACTCTGGGACAATGTGCATACCTGGTTATTGGTTGAAATCAGTGCATATTAATGATCTAATTTGCATAATAATTAGCCAATTTTCAGCTTTTTCATCAATGTCTGAAAAATGGGTGCTTAAGAATAAACTTGGATAGTTGTAGGCCAGTTCCACATAATGAATTTACAGCTCTGAAAGTTAATCTTGGTGAATAGGTGTTGTGGGATATACCACAAACTGCAACTACATGTACATATAAACTTGGTACATAGGTGGCTCTTGGATAATCCACATACCCGATTAATAGTACAGGATTGAAAATCCATGCATAATAATTACATAACTTACATAAATTAGACAATTATCTGATATCCTGATCACCACTTATCAGATTTGAATTAAACATGGTAAATAGGTGTTGTGGGATATAACAAAAACTGCAAACCATAGACCTTTTCACTACCAGTTCCCTCTTTTCATCACAAATTCACAAAATAGTCCCATTTATAGTCTGCACTTTCCTTCAGGAGATTTGAACAAAAATGGCCAAATTGTTTGTGTGAAAACTAAAAATTGACTCAAATGTTGTCTTTTGGCTCCAAAATTAAGGATTATTTCGAGAAATATTAAAGAATATATAAAAAAAAGTATAGAAAAATTTGTTAATAAGTCTGGCGGTGAAAAGCTTAAACTTGGTAAATAGGTGCTCTTGGATAATCCACATACTCGATTACTATAGGTTGAAAAGCCATGCATATTAATTACCTAATTTGCATAAATTACCACAGATTTTGATTTAAATTAATGTATTTCTTTTGTTTCCAGTGACATTTCAGACTCCTGTTTTTTGAAAAATTGCACATAATAATAATAATAATAAAAGCATGAAAAGGATGCCAAATAACTTTAAATCTGTCCGATCCGAATTAAAATGAGAATTGACATTACAATTCTTGCCCTATTGAATAGCTACTATCACATACAACAAAATTAGTTATTTTGGCCCAAAAACAAAGCTGATGTTTGTTTCAGTTTGCTTAGTAATGGACTAGGTAAATCATATTTTTAGATATATTTGTCGGTGATGTAGGTAGAGTGCAATGAGTACCCACAGTGTTGTCCCCACTAAATCAGCTGCCAAGTTCTCGCCGTGCGTTTGACCAGTCTTCCACTGCCAAGGAAAATAACTGCGCATAATCTCATGTCCACAGTAGAGGATTATAGGATTCATACCTATGACAATAGAAATCAATAGAAATGCATAGGATTATAAGATTCATACATTTAATAATAGAAATAAATGTAAGGTATAATATTATTAAATTCATACACATATTAAAAATCTATGGAATGTATTGGAATTTAAGATTCATACATATAATAGAAATCTATAGAATGTATAGGATTATTAAAATTATACACATAATATAAATCTATGGAATGTATTGGAATTTAAGCTTCATATATATAATAGAAATCTATAGAATGTATAGAATTATCATATTCATACATATAATAATAGAAATCAATGGAATGTATACGATTATTAGAATTATACATATAATAGGAATGAATGGAATGTATTGGAATTTAAGATTCATACATATAATAGAAATCTATAGAATGTATAGGATTATCATATTCATACATATAATAATAGAAATCAATGGAATGTATAGGATTATTAGAATTATACATATAATAGGAATGAATGGAATGTATTGGAATTTAAGATTCATACATATAATAGAAATCTATAGAATGTATAGGATTATCATATTCATACATATAATAATAGAAATCAATGGAATGTATAGGATTATTAGAATTATACATATAATAGGAATGAATGGAATGTATTGGATTATGACAGTATAGGTAATTTATAGGATGTGCAGGATGAATACCTATACATGAACAATAGAATTTACAGGATTTGAGTTAAGATTGTATAAACTACTTCAACTTCTTGAGTGGATGGCTGGTAATGAAGACTACATGACAATATCTGAGTGACCTTTCACCATGTGTGTTTGTTTCTACTATATTTACTCACCTGCTTGAAAAAAGGGTGATCCTGACCAGTGGTTATAGACATCAACAAGTATATAACAGACTATCAGCAAAACGAATGA